ATAATTTGCAAAGTGCTCTAATACCACATGAATGATGCCAGAATGAATGATCCCAGTGATGAATGCCAGAGAACTCCCAGGGTAGGTGGCACTGCCATCAGGTGCCTTGGAAGTGGCCTGTTTGCTGCAAGGAGCTATTAGAGAGGCAGCTGTGAGGAAGTTTAGTACAAACCAGAGCCCAAGGCAGTCTTACATTGAAGTGTTGTATTACAGAGAGGTTGTCACTGTAGTTTTAATTGGCAGAAATCTGCTGTGACTTATTCTCCAGGCAAGCACATTAACTTGCAGTTGAACAGATTTCTTTGTCCATGATTGGGTTTAACATATGATGAAAACAGTTGATTAAATCATGATTTACCAAATTGCTGTATCTCATATTTTGTAACTGATTGGAACGTGTGCCCATGCAACAGCAAGGACAGGAGGAAGAGGAAACAGGAACAGCTCTGTGACATACAGCTGTGGTTTTGTGGAAGGAGGGGAGGAGTAGTTTCAGAGAGGCACTTCTCAGGTTGTCAAGGTTACAGGTACTTCTGTAGGTGAGTGGCTTGGGCATTCTCTGCTGAGTACTGGCATCAGCTGTTTCCATCTGAGATAAAAATATTTGCATTTTAATTAGATTGTTGCCTTTTTCAACACTGAAGCATAGCATATAAGCAGTTGGAAACTTTCCACAGGACCAGTGAAATTATTTTAAAAAAATTACAATAGCAGCATTTACCCCAATAATATTTTGAAACTTCCTTAGTTTTTAAGTGTTTCCAAGATGAGGATCTCTTTATAATCACTCAGTGAATTAACCATGAAGATCTGGCTTTTTAGTTTTCTAGATCTCAGTAAAAATGTTCCGTTTGGAAGGTAGGATTCACTGTTTCAGATGCAGGGAAGCCAAGAGCTGCGTGCCAGTCTGGTGCTCATTGTGAGAACTGAGGATTTGCACTGAACTTGCTGCTTTCAGACATGGCTGCAATAGCAGCAACTGTGCCTTAGCCCTGGGAAAGAAATCTGTGCTGATACCAGCACAGCATGGCTCGAGAGGAGTCTGACAGCACCACTTGTACACTTGAGGAAAACAAACAGTGTCGTGGTAGATTTCAAGCTCCGCTCAGAATTGATACAATATGTCATAATGAATTTTCTGCCAGATTTAAGAGTGATACAGCAAGATCTTCATCTGCTATGAAGACGTGAAGCACCACTGACTGCATAAGTGCTGTGTAAGTGTACACAGCTGGGGATGGGCCAGGGGGTTTATAATACAGAGCAAACAAGCCAGCACTGCACTGAGCAAGTATCAGGTGCTGAAGTTGGGCAGAGTAGTGGTGTGTAGCCAAAAAGGAGCTCAGAAAGCAGGCAACCTCCTTTGTAAACCAAGGAGAACAAATTCACTGCTCCTGCAGCAGCAGAATTTAGTGAGAAAGCCCACCACTGCTGTGGGGTTGGAACAGCCCCAATTTACTTGGAAATGCTTTTTGTGTGCTAAGTCAGGTAATTTTGCAAACTTAAAGACTCAAAAATTAAAAAAAAAAAACAAACAAAACAATCTTTTGAAAATCTTGCTAAATGAATATTAACTGCTAAGTTTTAAGTAAAGCAATACTTTCAGCGAGTGCCTTGCCATTGTGGCAGCTCGTCCTCCCTGAATGTGGAGGACCTCCCTCTTCAAAGGGAGACTGAGGAAAAGGCACTCTTACACTTGTAAAACCAACCTTTGTGTGCCTGCTGTGCCTCCAGGCCTTCCCACTGTCTGTTCAAAATCTTCAATTCCTCAGTTTCCCTGCTGTCCTCAGACAGGCAGAGAATCCTTAGTGGCTTCATCATTGCTGTCCCTTTAACTGGACTTGATGATCCTTGTGGGTCTCTTCCAGTTTAGAATATTCCGTGCTTGTGTGACAGGCAGGGGCAGGGAAGGGCTGCTGGAGGCTCAGGAGTACCAGAGCAGCCCTTCACCAAGGGTCCCACCAGTGCTGTCCATGTGCACCCCATCACTGCAGGCTGCTCTCATCAGTCCAGCCGTGTAAGTCTGTGTTCTGTGTCTGTTCCTCAGAGGAAGGGGAAAGGGAGGAGCATTCCCTGCCTGGTGGGAAGGGAGCCACAGGACACCAAGAGCCAGGACAAGCTCATACAGCTTCAAAACTGAATGAGGGTAGGGGTGAAGCTCAAAGTTATTTTCCCTAGAAGTCTGAGACTTTGGAGAAATGATAAAAGAAGAGTTGTGGAATTATTTTCCCTTGTTTGGACACAGTATTGCACTGACATTTATGTGCATGATGTTGCAGTAATCCAGTCAGTTGAGCCTGTTCATTCATGACCTTTCCTGTAACATTACCCACAATGTTGTGTGTGATATTGCAGAGAAAAAGGTGAGGGCAAGGGTGCCCCAGCTGACTGTTGTCAGCTTAAGTACGATATAAGATTTGCACTTACAGTAATGATGGGGGCAAATGCAGAGCCAGAAAATGGGCAGTTTTCTAAGGAAAACTTCCATGGTACTAAAACAACATTTGTTGCTGCCATTTATTTTTTTCAGGTCCCTTTTTCAGGTCAATGATTACTGTTCTGTAGATTTACCAAAGCAATGACTTAGCCCCATATAAAATAGTTTAAGAGTTGAGGTCTTACTTGTTGAATCTTTACTTAAATAACTTTCTGGTGTAAAAAGACTCATCACACATGACATTAAAGTGTTCTTAATTGTGACTGGAGGCATTTACATTCTGAATCCAAGTGAATTATATTAGGTATGTTGCACCGTTTTTACTTCATACCCCAGTTGGTTTTATAACCAAGTATAACCTATAATATTTGCTTTTCCAGAATAAAATAAATCCTGTACAGGGGATTGACATCACTGTTTTTCCTGTGGTGCCTTTTAAGTAGTGTTTAAATTTCAAGTGGTCTTGTAGGTTTCATACAAATTCTCCGTGGAAAGTAGATTCTGTTTTTAATGTTTTAACTCTTTATATCATATGGCTTTGTAAATCATGGAGCTGTTACAGTCCAGCATGAGAAACATTTAAGTATCTTTACATAATGTGCAGGTGAACTCATTTTGGGATGAAACTTTATTAATTGCAAGAAGAATACTGTATTTTAGAGAAACAGAATTATACAGATCAGCATTCAAATATGTTCCACGAAGGACATCACGGTTTACTCTGCTTTACCTTGGTTGAAACCCAGGGCACCTCCAAGCGTGCAGGGGGACCCAGGAGCATTGCTTCCACCCCAAAAGTTCTCCTTCCAGTGTGTCCAGCTCAGTAACACTTCGCTTGTACAGATGTAGGGACTGAAAACACAGAAGTATCATAGTACCATTAGGATAGTAATGCAGCTGATTTTAAATGAGATATGCTGTATTTTGCTGCACTTTCTGCATCCAAATGGGCAGGAAGTCATCCAAAATTGTGGAAGAAGACACATGTTGGAGATAATTGTTAACAGTCAGTTCCAGAACTAGGATAGGCTACCCAGGGAAGTGGTGGAATCACTGTCCATGGAAGTGTGGGAAAGGTATGTGGATGTGGCACCTGGGGATGTGGTTTGGTGTGGAACACAGTGGTGCTGGGTTAGCAGCTGGATTTAATGACCTTAGAGGTCTTTTCCAGCCTTAATGGTTCTACAGTCTGTGATTCTATGGAAACAAAGTGTGGGCTTAAATATTAAGGGCATTAAGAAGAAGTGCAGCATAGGGAAACAAATTTCTGCAGGTCTTGCAGGTCTCATCTATATTTAACTCTTACATGAGGAGAGGCTTTTCTTTATGGCCAGTTTGGCATCTAGTTCTCAGGCTGGTGTGTGCACACAAAGGCATAACCTGCTTCAATGAGATAACTTAAAATTGATTTGTGAAGTATTTGGTTTGTGCTTTAAAATGCACAGCCCAGGAGGTGGGCTACATTTCTGTCGAAGAAGAAGCCATGCTCTTTGTGCAGGTCTTGGAGTAAACCCTCAGCAATGGAAGGCTGAGCCCATCCGGGATGTATTTATTTGTATGACAAACAGGCTGGCAGTCAACAATTTGTGCATCCCTAGCCTTTAAGAATTTCAGCAGTATCAGATCAGTGTATCCTGGCCCCTCTGACAAATCCTGCCCTGATGGCAGTGGTGCCAAGGTGCTGTGAGGTGGCCAGGCTGTGCCTGAGCTGCTGCTGTGTGTGCTCATTAAATGGAAAGGCTGGGTTCCACTGGGGGCATGACAGTGCATAGATGCATGGTTGGAGGGTTTAATGCTGCTTTGCAAGTGCATGTGGATTTTCAAGGCAGAAATAGACTTCTTTTTTGACAGACGTATAGATAATCCAGCTCTCACAGCCTTCTGCTTTTTGAAAGAGCCAGATTGGTCTCCTGAATGTTTTGCTGGTGGGTTTTTCTCCTGCCTCATCCTTGGAAATGAAGTTATTTCAGTGTACTATGAAAAGAGGTGTTTGGAGACTTACTGACTTACATAAAATGGAATATTTCATTTTGTACATGAAAAGTATCCTCATTCAGAAGAGGCTGAAGCTATTCCACTCTGCTGGAAATAAACTATTTTCTCATGAAAGGGAAGATAAACTAATGTGATACTATGATTACTACAGAAAGTAAAATGCTTGCTTCCAGTGGGAAAAAAGTAATAAAATGTATAAATGGCTCTCTAGTAGCTTACAGTAGCACTGCTGAATTATCAACAGGTGGCGTTTCCTCTAGCTTCAGTCTGTGTTCATCTGCACCATCAGGGTGTGCCCAGGTCTCTGTCACAGCTGCATAGAAAGGTTTTATTGCACCTTCCTGCACAGGGAGCAGGGACAGTCCATACCAGAAACATCCAGCCCCTTGGGCAGGCAGCTCCTTGTGCTCTTTGCTGCTCCTATGCCGTGTGCACGATGCCCATGTTTGTGTCATGTGCCCAGCATTACTCACATTGCTTTAGGCTTTCTGTGCCCAGGACCAGCACTGTGCTGGGCTGGGTTGCAGTGTGTGTTGGTGCCACATAATGAACTCTGTCCTTCTTTCAGGCCCGAACTGCTTTGCAGAAACCCTGGTGATTCCAGCAGGCCGGGAGGTGAAAACTGACGAGTGCACTATATGTCACTGTACTTATGAAGAAGGCACGTGGAGGATTGAACGGCAAGCCATGTGCACTAGACATGAATGCAAGCAAATATAGGAAACCTACAAATCTACAGACTTTTCGTGGTTTTTATAAAGTATCCCACAGCAGTGAGCACCTGAGATGACCCAGGGAAATCCAAATGAGAAGATTCTGGCGAGGAGCAAGAAATACAATACTGATATTTTGTTTTTCAAAGTAACATAATACTGCAAGGCAAAGAAGTGCATATATTTAAAACATTTGGACATAAGAATACCTGTCTTAAATGTGTTATTTTCACAGTGAGTACACTTAAATACACTATAAAATATTCTATGTATTTCTATAATACCATTATAGAGCTTAAAAATAAATGTTTTATATAGACAATACAGATTGAAGTACTGTAGCATTGCCTCTCCTCTTGTATACATGCGCCATGGCTAAAACTATACACTTTGTTCCAGTTTTGCTATATGAAGATTTTATTGTGTGTTTTTTGGTTTTGTTTTGGGTTTGGGGTTTTTTTGCTGTTGCTTATTTTGAGTTTATTGGGGCAGGCAAGAGATAGCACATGAGAAAGCCTTGACATTCTCCATTTTGGAAAAAAGAGGAGAAGAATAGGCTTTCAGAGAAGATATGTTCATTTATGAACATAAATGGGCTGTAATGTAGATGTGAGTCAGCTCCATATCTTACTTTTACTTGTGCTCCTGTCTTCTGATCCACTGCCAAGATGACTTGGAGCAGTGGGTAATGTGAAACTGGTCTCTCATAGCTGCTACTATAAATTTATTCAGATTAATTCAGTTCTTAATATTCATTTCAGACATAAAATTTATCAGCAGGACAGATACGGCTGTGACAGATTATGGCATCACCAAGCTGGTGGAAGTGACGGTAAGTAATCACAGAGCATCATGATGTGATGCATAATGGATATGGAGAAGTGCAGCTTGGGAGGGCTACAGCAGCCAAACAAACCTTCACTGATGTGGCTCCACATTGCTGAGTTTGAGCAGGAGAGCTGCACCATTCCCTAGCCCTGCTCTTGCCACCTTGTTGGAAGCTGGTTCAATATTCTGTTTGGCAGAGTGTACAGAATCTGTACACACTCTCTATTGAAGTGAAAGGTTTAAAACTCTGTCTTTGAATCCATCAGAGGATTTCTAGCACATAATCTGACCATGCCTGCATGGGAGGTGAATTACATCTCCCCGCTTCAGCCACCAACAGCCTTTGCTTAAATTCATTTCAGTTTTAGTTTAGTTTGTCACCAAATCCAACAATATATCTGTTTTGGATACCTACTAAGGCAGTGACTCAAGAAGTATGGATTTACTTTTAAGCTTTTACTGGTGGCAAGATTTGATGAATAAATTTCTGAAACCAGAAGATTATTGCTTAAATTCCCACTTACTCTTTGTTAATTTCTCCTATGGTGTAACCTGCTTGCACCTTTGCATCCATACAAAGTATGACTTTCTGCTGCTTCTGAACATTGAGGAACTTTTGCCACTGACTTCAGTGGATCCCAGTTATCACCTATGTCCTTATTTTGAGCATATTTCTATCACTGTAAGTTATTTGTGAGTAAAGGATGTATGTTTTGTCTAAAACTTGTGATAAAGTATACCAACCAATCCATTTCATAGGAGTCAGCAGTCATATGACAGAGAGCTAGCTCCTGAGCCAGTCAGACCCATGCCTCATGGCTATTGGACTTCTGCTTGCTGAAATCAAATATCAGCACAGCTCTGAGAGAGTGCCATGAGTGCCAGTGGTCTTCCATGAATGACTTCCCAAGACAAGTGGAAGAACGCATTTGGGAAGCAGCCATGAAACTTGAGTAGAGAAGGTGAACTTGCAGCTCAACGTGGAATTGCCTTTTCAAGTGGGCTGCCTGGTGACTCTAAGAGACATATGTGTTTTCAGTGAACTGTGAGAAACTCACAGTTTATGTCTTTCAATGTATGGCCAAAATGAGTAAATTTTTGGAATTCTCACCTCAGACTAGTAACACATTGCTTCTTTACTGAAGGTTCTTGTGAAGCCTTAGACCATTTCTGAGGGGAATTTCTGTTCTTTTAGGCAGTTCTCTTTGTTGAAGTAGTGAGTATAAAGTTAAAGGCTTAGTTTCTAGTGTAGCTTTTATAAATGTTTTCTATTGTGCATTTTTTCAAAAATATTTTTCTGTCTTTCAATCCTGGTACCAACATATTAATGTCATTTTCACTGTAGTAATAGGATGGTCCTTTCGATTGCATGTGAAACTTCCCAGGCATGTTCATCTTGACATCCAGCACTGCGAGTTGTTGCTTAAAGAAGTTATATTTTGAGTTATATAATGTTTTTTTGTTTGTGAGAAGCAAACTTCAGGTATTTTTAGGTTTTTTTTTCTTTTTATGGAGTGATGTAGAAGTTATTCTGAGTTTTTGACCTTCTTTATGCCTAGATCACTGGCCACATCCAGCTTTGGCCTGTAGTATTACCACATGAGGGTTCTTTGGTTATTCCTGAGATGGGGAAATGGGCTGAGTGACTCTTTCTAGGCAGATCTTACTAGTCTTGCCCAGTTGCCACACAGTGTGCTGTGGGATAACCCCAACAGAGAGCTAAGCACCACATGGCCACTCACTCCCCAACTGCCCACCCATGTGGAATGGTGGAAAATAAAGGAAGAATAAAAGCAAGAAAACTCCTGGGTCAAGGTGAAAATAACTAAATAAAAAGAGAAAAGAGAGAACAAAGAAGCATCAAAAAAAGCATGGCAATTGCAAACACTCACCACCTCCCATGGGCAGACCTGTGGCCTGAGCAAAAGATAGCCTCAACCTCATTCTTCATTTCACTGCTGATCAGAGCACTATAGGGCATGAAACATCTCTTTGGTTACTTCGTTCTGATCACCTGCTGGTTTTGAGCCCTCCCAAGCCCTAACCTACCCCATTCTACTCACAGAGGATGAGTGAGAAGCAGAGAAGACCTTGGCGCTGTGCATGTCCTGTTCAGCAATAGCCAAAACACTCGTGTGTTTCAGCATTGCTTTGGTCATAGGCCTAAACCACAGCATCCTACTGCCTAAACCACAGCATCCTACTGCCTATTAGGGAGAGTAATTCCATCCCAGCCTGTGGTAGTTCTGCTAGCAATTCCATACAGGCACAGAGGCAAACACACCAAAAGACCCCAAAATCCAGACTCCAACCAGTGAATGCACCAAGCAGCAGGGGCCTTTGGCAGCCAAGCTGGGGAGCTGAGATTTGCAGCCTGATGTATAATGTCACTTCACACAGACAGGTTTAAAATTTTCTTGTTATTGGAGTTGATAAGGAAACTAGGAGAAGTAAAATATTTAAAGTTAGCCATTATGCGATGCTTTTGGGAACCATTTGCCTTTAAACTAATTTAATCTCAAGGCAATAAAATAACAACCCCAGAACTGCTGTGGTGGCCACATGTACCAATCTAAATGTTATGCTTTGATTATGTAATATACCTGTTCATGTGTAACCTTAAAAAGTAAGAGAAAAGTCATCTGCATCATTTCCAGTGAACTAAACTCCATTGAATATTGTCTTCCCTACTGAGGCCTAGATACTCGGCTGGTTTTTGCTTCAGTGCAAACAGGATTATGCATCCTGCACATGAGGAGTTCTTCAGCTTTGCAGGTGGGTTGTGTCTATTAAAGCTGTATTTCCAGACACACTAACAACTCATGAATAATTTTGTATTTGAAGGTCTGTTTCTTGGATAATGAATATTCTCAGATGTTCTCATGTAGCTGCATTGGCATGAATATGAGATTTCTGCTTCACTTGCTTCTGCTTATTTCCCAGTTGAAATCAAGACAATCCATTTCTGTAGGAGTGCATTATACATGAACTTGTCTTCCAACCTATGTAAGCAGGTGCCTGAAGAGATTGCATTCTAGATTATTTCAGGTAATTATAAAATTGCACAGTTAGCGTGCAGTAGGATTCTCTATTCTAATCATTTAAGCCACAAAAATGGAAGAGCTGATACTCAAATATTATGTGAGATTTAAAAGGCAAAAGGCGAAAAAGAGAAAGTATGAAAGACAGATGAGCTGGGCATTACAATAGGAGTGTCCAACAACAACAAAAAAAACCAAACATACATTTTCAAAGAATATGATAAGAAAAGTAAATGAGAAAGGTATTTGGGCACAAATTGAAATACAAAAAATTCTACTTGGCAATAAAAAAAAAATCACACAGTGAAGGTGAATGAATACTGGAGGATGCTGCGAGGATGGCCAAATTCCAACTGGGCGCAGCCCTGAGCAGCCTGCTGTAGCTGAACTTGCACTCAGCAGGGTATTGGATGGGATGCTCTCCAGAGGTGCAAAATTAAAAACCAGGTTCAAATGAGATTGAATTAAAGTCTTTAATACATACAAGAAAGAAAAAGATAAGATGAAAGGTTCCCTCACTTTGGAAAACAGGTGTTCTGTTTCCATATGGGGAACTGTACTGTCATGCTTGTGAACTATTTGATGTTACTTTTGACAGTAACTTTAATACCAAAGTTATCATAGCTCAGTGATACATAGAGGGCTTTTAAAGGCACACATTATTTAAGAATCTAATGTAATCCAATTAAATGCTCCATTTATTCCCCTTATCAGGCAATGAGTTTTCTTCACAGCCTGTGTTAACATGGGTTTTCTCTCTGCAAAAATACAACTTCCTACTGCATTAAAAACCAAACTCAAACTTGGGAGACAGCACTGAATATCACAGACTATTTTCCTCACTATCCAAGATTTCAAAATTTTCATCACTTTTTGGTTAAGGTAAGTACTGCTTTAGAAAGTACATCACTTGTTCAGTTTTGACAGCCACTCCTTCCCACATTTCTCTTTCCTTTGAAAATATATTTAGGCTCAGCCACACTGAAAATGAAAAGTTGTAGTCTCTTGAAATGTCACTTTAAATAACTTCCATAGCAGACAAAAAATAAACACAATTTATTTATTTAATATGCCTGTAAAAGAAATACAGGAAAACTCCAAACTATTGTGTCACTCAGTAGTTACAGAGAAGTGGAAATAATGATACAGAATACTAAATTATCAGCAATAGGAAAAAGTTCTTTTCTCAGCTAAATCAGCATAAAACAAGAGTTTTTCAGATGCCCAGGTAAACACTGTTAAAACTGAGATAAGTATTTCTTCCACAGGTAGAAATAATAAAGTCTCTGTACTTGACTACAGTCGGTGAATGAGAGGGAACATTCACAAATCCTGGTGTAAAGTGCCTTTGATCATAGTAGCCAGAATTAAAGACAAAGCTTTATTGATAACCATTTACTTTGCTTTTTCCAGTAAATCCTAAAGGTTGTGCAAACCTTGTGAAAGAAGGTGAATTTCACCTGTCAGGAAGACCAACTCCCACTATCTCTACACTCTGTGAAAATCCATAAATGCGTGCATGGAGAAGAAATTCAATATTCCAGTGTGTATAATACTCCAGTGAAAAATACATCCATTTTATTTTTCTCTCTCAAAGTATAGATGAAAATCTATGAATGTCTTTAATTGATGAAAACATCTGCCAACTAGAGCTTTCCATTTCTGATATAAAGGAATGCAAATTATAAAAATGTCAAGGTGCTGCTTAACCTAGATGGCTATTTCCTTAAATAGCTGCATCCATTTCAGAGGAAAATTCTCCAATTGGTTTGCTATCCACAGCTCAGTAAGGTCCATGTGCTGTATTACTTGTTACAGTTCTGTTTAACAAAATCAAAGTCTGTATTTTCACAAAAGCAATACTGTATGTGATGATTTCTTGTTAGCCACTGCTAATTCAAATGAATTCTAACTAATTCAGTGCTGTTGTGAGTGAGAAATCATGGAGATAACACAGACATGCAGTGCTTCTACCTAATGTAACAACTCAGTGGTCTGTTCAATTCTGGTGATCACAAGAGGAATAAGGAATAGGTGGCCTTTAGTCATTCCAAGGGTTACAGTAAAAGACAGTTCCATTTCTTAAATGCCAAACATTTTGTAATGTTCTTTCCCAGGTATTTATTTTCAAATGGCATTTAATAAAAAGAGCTATTTTATATATTCTGCTAGTTATGCCATTTATACTAATGTTTGAGCAGTTAACAGTGTAACTCTCTAGAATGCTGAAAATGTATTCTTTCCATTTTCTTCCAAGGGCCTTAGCTGCCTAGGTTTTATACAAAAAACTTCATATATACTTAATTCAAACCAAAAAAGGCAAGTAATTCAGTCTCAGTAGTTACTTTCAAATGTACTGTTTTCAGTTTGGTATCCTTCAAATCAAAATACAATATAATTGGAGCTTCAGGTTCTGTCATGTTAACAGGATATTAGTGGGTATCTTATAGTATAGTATCTTAAGATATAATACATCATATTGAGAAATTATTTCTTAGTTGTAGGACAGTATTTCTTTTTAGTCCTTTTTTTCAGAGTAGAGTCTCTGAGGACACATATTTACCTGTGTGGTCCATGTTTGTGCTTGAAAAAACAAATACCTGCAAACCTCATTTTCCAGATATGACAAAGAGGTGACAGTGGTGCCATGGTTTCAGCCCAGCCAGCAACCAAGCTCTGTGCAGCTGTTTGCTCACTGCCCCATCAGCAGGATCGGGGAGAGAATCGGAAGCATAAAAGCTGGAAAACACATGGGTTGAGATAAAGACAGTTTAACAGAGAAAGCAAAAGCCACATGCACACGCAAAGTGAAACAAGGAGTTAATTCACTGCTTCCCATGTCCAGGCAGATGTTCAGCCATCTCCAGGAGAGCTGAGTCCCATCACACATAGAGGCTACTTGGGATGACAAACTCCTTCACTCCAGATGTTCCCACTTCTTCCTTCTTTCCCCCATCTTTATATACTGAGCATGATGTCAGATGATCTGGAACATCCCTTTGGTCAGCTGGGGTCACCTGTCCTGCCTGTGTCTCCTCCCAACCTCCCAAGCACCCCCAACTTTCTCACCAACATGGCAGTGTGAGAAGCAGAAGAGTCCCTGGCTCTGTGTTATCCCCCTGCTCAGCAATGACATCTTTTTATAATCAACCTTCAGCACAAATCTAAAACAGAGGCCCATAACAGCCACTGTGAAGAAAATAAATTCTACCCCAGCCAAAACCAGCACAAATGACCTTCACATCTAGCTGATTGTTATACATGAATTACATGGAAAAGAAGTGGAAGATTATAAACTCTGTAATCCTTATTAAAAACTAAGCAATTTGCAAATACAAAACAAATAGGATTTTAAACAGGAGTCCACTAGTGAATGCCAACCTAAACAAGGCACTTAGTGAATGATGATGACAAGGAATGCATTGAGTCAACCACTTAGTAATTCTGAGCAGTCTAACAAAAGTAGATGAGTGTCAGGAAAAGTATCACAGCACTTCATGTAGCTGTTTGTTTTCTTCCAGTAAGAGCAGAAGTCTTGTGTTCAACATGGTCTCTTGAACCTGGACAGATAACTGACCCAAGTGGATATGTTACATCCTTTGGGAAGAAGTTACCAATGGGTCAGGAGTGGTGATATAATTAACCCTGAAAGAAAGACTGGGATGTTCTTGCATTGGGGGCTACATGGCATCATTCATGACCTTTCACGTACACTAAACCAATGACTGAATGGGCAGGGAGCTGAAAACTACAGTACAGACTCCTTACAGCAGCCCATCTTTATTTGAAATAGGCTTCTTGAGCATTCTGAGTTGATGGTGAAAAAAATGTATATATTTTCTACATCATCCATTTCTTAAACCATAATTTTCTTCACTTTTTACTCCATTTACCTATGGGGGATATGCCCATCAATTGCATTTAACATGGCCTATATGCAGTAATATTTTAAATACACTTCTATAGCTCCTTGTATAAGTACTACAAGACAAAAAAACCCTGAAATTTACACTGGTAATTATTAAGAAGTAGTGCAAAAATAATACATCAAATTAGAAATCAATGTATGATGCAGAACAAGTGTTCTGAATGAAATCTTCTTCTCTTGGCTCATGTTATGCCATTTGGAAAAGTCTGTGCAGTCACCTACAGAATGACTTCACTGCAGAAGAATAACTCAGCATTGTGCTCTTGGCAGAAAAAAGCAGGATTTGAACTACTTGGTTATGAGTGTCCTAATTCATACCTTGATTTGGCAATGGAAGACTTTCTTTGGGATGTACCTTTAACTAACAGCATTTGCATTCAGTATGCAAAGAAAATTAGGGCCTTCTTCCCTTTTGCAGTGTTGCCATTTCCCTTGTTACTGCGTTCTGCCTCAGTGTTGACATCACAGTCACTGCCGCACAAGCCTCCAGCTGGATTTTCAATATTTGGTTTAGTTTGTTTGTTGAGGCTAGCAGGATTCCCTGGATCCCCAGGGGCTGTTACCAACTCACCAAGCACTTTTTGCTGCTGCTCTTGATGGAAGGGTTTTAGAGGTTATGGAATTTGAGAGAGAAGGAGTTCTCTTCAGGTGATGTCAGAACATTGCTGTACATTAGTATAGACAGACCAAGATGGCTTCATTGGAAAGAGAAAGCTTTGCAGGTAACTAAAGATATCTTCCAACCTTTCTGTCTGGAAAATCCATCATGTGCACGAGAGGAATAATTCTTGTCTTTTTATTGAAGATATAGGCACATATCTAGCAAATCCTTCAGAATTTTCAACTTCTTTAAATGTAGGAAGGTGGGCTTTTCCTACAGTGGGATAAAAACTTTATTTCTTAGAAGTGTCATCTGCTTGTTATCTATCAGAAAACATGAAAAACAGAAAGGAATCAAAAGTAAGAACCAGTAGCATGCTTACCCAGCAACTGGAAGCTTTCTCTAACTGTTAAATTGATTCAATCTTTTCAGTAATGGAAAACCCCTGTTTCTCTATATTTACTTTGAAAGCATAAAAAATCTTAACAAAATACTTTTTACAGGATATTTTACATACTTGCCACATCACAAACCAAAATGGACATGTACTAATCTGTTCTTGTATCCTATAAGCTAAATAGTATTTTGCACTTTCTTCTGATTTTTAGGACTGTTTCGATGTTCTTTGAATAATGCTTTTCCTTTTGAACTTTCAAGTTACTATATATCTGCAATAAAAAATAATCACCATACTGTGAGCAGGAGCTGAAGAAAACCAAATTAGAACTGACTTTGCAGTATCTGGTCTACTAAAAATAACACAGAAATCAAGCTCTGTAAAATAAAAATATTTCATTAAGTTACTATGGCATCTCATATCAAATTTTCTCCTCAGAGAAGACCTAAGAAACATATGACATTTTGTACTGTATTAATCTCACAGCTGCACATGATTTTTATATATATAATATATATTTATAAAGCATACAAATTATATTTAAAAGTTTTGATGACATGAAAAGTGACTCCATTGCTTATCTTAAGTAAAATTTAATGGTGGATCAAACACGTTGCCAAAATATTTAATTAACTTTTTCTAAAATAACATTCTTTATTTAACATAAAACAGGATTTTAAAAGTAGAAAATCATTAAAATTAATACAAAATTATATTAAATAATTTCTCAGATGCTTGTGCTTATCAATTCTGTTTATTCAAGACTGCTTTACAGAAGCAGAACACTAAATGGAATTACTAATCATCATTAACTCTATGTCTTTAAGATTTTGCATTTTCAAAACTGCTCAGTAAAAGCTTGGCCTGAGGCTTATCTAGTACTGGATGAACAAAACTTTGAGATGTTTTACCACCTCTGTTTTCTGCCAAAAAATTTCTCAATGGATAGGTACAGCACACAATGACTAACCAGGGTAACACATTTAACTGATTCAGAAAGATATTTAGACTAGAAAACAGAAGTTGAGACAATAGCTCAGGGTTTCCTGCCATGTTAGTAGAAAAGTAGAGGTGAAAAAACAAATCAGGATATTGTTTGATACTGAGGAGCACGAGGCTGATGCATGGAGAAGATGAATGCAAGTTCTGATACAAAGACTTGGATTGGCAGATGATGCAGTAAGTGAAAGGGGTTCATGCTTAGTGCACACATTGTGTGATGGCAGTGTGAAATAAATGATGCATTGCACAACAGAGCACTGCCCAACAGTATGCAGGAGCAGAACTGCTGAAACACCACGTGGAAAGAGATATTCTAAAAATAATAGAGGAAAGAGAACAGGTGTAACTGAACATCAAGCTATTTTGCTGTATTAAGAAGTAAAAATAGAACACCCTTGGTTATGAAACCTGCAGAGACTATGGATAGGTTTTTTAATTTTTCCATGCTCTTGGGCCTACTCCGTAACCCCTTTCCTTCTCTCAGGTCCTTATCAAGACATGGAGACTAGAAAAAGATGCTATACTCAAATTTTAGGGTACTTTAGAAATTCTTGAGTGACATCTGTTTGCATGTTCTAAAGTGGGACTGACCCACAGATGATAATATGAGGTTTTCAATGTGTCTGTGGTGATAGCCTATGACTGATAAGAAATGTACTATAAAAGTTTCAGAATAGGGAAAAATAAGAAATCACACACCAGCTGATCAGACCTATGTAATATGTAAAGACTTCATGAATGAAGCTGAAAACCATGCAGGTAAGTGTAAAGCAAATACAATCTGATGTGGTTTTAATTTAAGATAAACGTGTAATTAATTTGAAGGTGCCAGGTATGGCATCACATATACATGTAATTAAACAAAAAAGACAATGTTTAGAATGAAATTTAAAAAATGAATGATCCTCAAAGGGAAATGAGAGAGAGAAATTGCTAAATGGGCAATTTAGAGAGGCTTACTAAATATTTCCACTAACACGATTATCAGAAAAAGTCCCAATTGACAGTCCTGACAAAAATGTGAGAAGCCATGAATAAAGACAGTGTGTAAATAGGCAGGAAGAAACAGAAGAATGAGAGTGGCCTGTATATTTGTTTGATTAAAGAGGACTGTGGGCACAAACAGTCACAATGGAAAGGGGAAGCGTGTGCTGTGACATCTTTGGCAAAAGAGGTTCCATGGACCAAGAGAAAAGAACTAATGATGTAAAAGGCACTGGTAAGAGCTCAT